CTCCGGGGGGGAGCCACTGTCACCACGCACATGGTGGCGGGCGCCGTGGCAGGGATCCTGGAGCACTGCGTGATGTACCCGGTCGACTGCGTCAAGGTGAGACCTGGACCGGGCTGCGAACCCGACGTGGGGCTGACCCGACCCTGAGCCTTGTTTAGAGCCAGAGTCCCGACTGAGATCCAGGGCCGATGGGTTCCTTCCTGGCTCCTACCTCTACGCACGGTTTGAACCGATACTCCGTGTAAGCGAAGTCCTGACTGGGAGTTGAGCTCAGTCAGGAAACCAGGACTTATTTCTAACGGTCAGTGAGATGTGAATCGAGACTCGGAGCAAAAATCTTGTCAGCCAAAGACCCGATCCCGCCTGGGACTAAGCAGGAATGGGGTGGGATGGGGGATCCCGAAGCACAGGTAAGTCTACAACTCGAGCAAGGTAAAGCCAGCTGGCGTTGAAATCAGACCGTGAACCCGATCTGATGGCTCGGCTTCAGATGTGCTTCGGGTCGGTGGTTTTACGAGCTCCTTGCTGCGTCTTCCCTTAAAAGTGACGGGGCAGGAACCGGAATCTGGGATCTCTCAGCTAGATAAAAGTACGTATTCAATCTTAACCCGTGAGTGGTTGGAAGTCATTGTGCAGTCAGATGTGAGAGCTCCAGCCTGGAATGAAAACGGGAAAGGGCATGCTAAGGAAAAGGTTTCGGTTTCTCTGTGAAGCAAGATCTATTTCCCATCCATTTCCTGAACGTAAAAATTGCGCTGGGTTAAGACCGTGTGATCGCATCAGCCCCTACACAACAGTGCTGAAACTGTTTCTGTTTCTTTGGGCACCCGAATTTGACAAAAAGGGAAACGGCTAGAAGGGAAGTGGGATGATGTAAGAAAATAGGGGTAAACTCGAGGAGAATGGAATGGGATTGTCAAGGTATGGTCACTGTCGAACGTTAATCCAATTGCATCCACAACCAAGCAGGATGGTGAGGGACATACAGGTCCGAAGAAATCTGGGTGAATGGAAACGTGTTTTTCCTTACTGTTCTTATACTTTAGTGGAGGTGCCAGCTGCGAAGGTGAAGTCTAAACTGAAGGGGAAGTAACTTTGAGGGGATTGTTGAAATTACTGATGAGAACGATGCTTTCTTGACACCAATTAATATAGGCAACAATACCCTGTCAGTTCTTTGATGTATGTTTTCTCAGATGAGGAGAGGATCCATGTCGGCCCTGCAAACATCAGTTTCTTCTGCTTGCTTCTGGTTTCAGTACTGTTTTACAATTTCATTAGTAAAGTGGATGAGGAAATAGGCAAAGTGCTCCTGAAGCTTTGTGAATGGCGTTGGGTTGTGGTGAGGAAATGGAGAAAGTGCTCCTGAAGCCTGTGAATGAAGTTGAGTTGGCTAGTGCCTCAGCACATTACAGGATAACTCCTAACAAGAGCCATACCCACTGAAAAATGTGGTTAAGTGCACCTGACTGAGGTACACGTTAGCATTTTAAATGTCTTTGTCAACAGAGAGAATTAGACCATGAACTGATTTGTGGCTTGTTCATTGTGTAGGAGCTTTAGCCAGACAACTTGCTGTGTCTTCCCTTCAAAGAAATAATAAAGCCTGTGTGAGCAGAATAACTGGTGAAATAATAATTGTAAAACAAACATAGAAATAAGTGATTCAGACATTTGTGAAATAGACTGTAGGTTGAATGTCTTAAGTCAATGAATGCTACTAACTCATTCAAAAGTTAGTAAAATCTAGCTGCAGAGTAACCTCTCTCTCTTGATTTTTCCAGACAGACAGGGTTTCTCTGTGTAGCTTGGAGCCTGTCCTGAATCTGTAGGCCAGGCTGGCCTCTAACTCACTGCTGGCAGCCTCTTTCTCTTAACTGCAAGTACAGCACAGAATCTAGGGTGCTATGTTTCAGGATAAGTATCAGATGGAAAACAGATCAGAGAAAGCAATGAAAATTATTTAATGGGATGGAAAATGCATTGTTATAATATGACCAACTTCAAAATATTCCTGGGATTGGGGAAATGGCTAGCACCCACATAAAAATCTGGGCATGGTGGTGCACATCTGTAACCCCATTGATGGGAAGGTAGAGACAGGCAGACCCTTGGAGCTCACCACATAGCCAATGTAGCCAAATCCGTGAGTTCCAGGTTGTAAGAGTCCCTGTCTCAAAAGATAATAAGGTGGCTCAGTGCGGTGGTACTCAGGAGGTAGATCTGTGAGTTTGAGGCCAGCATTGTCTATGTAATAAGGGATTCCTGCCAGGGTCCCACGATGGAATCCCGAAACAAGACTCTGTCTCAATAAACAAACAAGGTGGAAAGTGGTTGAGGAAGATATCCAAGATGGATCTGCCCCCCCCCCCCCCACATACACACTTCACATATCCATATAAACATGTACTGGTGCCACACAGAAAGGGAAGAAAAAGGGTGTTACTACTACCTATCAGTTTGACAGTTGTATTATGTTACAAAATATCAGGAGACTCTCCTTACTCTATAATGCTGCTTTGCTTGTAAACATGATTATAAATTTCCTTGTTAGAAATGCTTCTAGAGCTGGGCAGTGTGGCGTATGCCTTTAATCCCAGCACTACAGAGGCAGAGGCAGGAGGAGAGGCCAGCCTAGTCTACAGAGCAAGTTACAGGACAGTTAGGCTACACAGAGAAATCCTGTTTTGAAAACAATAAATGCCTCTAGAATATCCTTAATGGGGGCAAATCTTTGTCCTATGACAAGACTCGACAGAGACCACAGAGTCAAATATGGCTCGTTAGACTGGGCCATACTGCTTGCTTGCAGACACAAGGAGGGCCTGGCAAACAAATCCCTGATTTACTTCTAAGACTTGTAAATTGAGGAGACACAGGAGAAGGGAGTTGCAAAGGTGTGTTGCATAACCAGTAAGTTATGTCTAGGCTACCAAGGTTAACTATTTTGATTAACAGTTCCTAATCACCTGAATATGTTTTAGGATTTGCATTTTTAAAGACTTGACAATACAGTATTTCAGTCTTGCCTCTAAACCCTGCACTAAAGAATTGGTTATTTGATTTGAAGAACAAATGCCTAAGAGTCTTAAAAAATGCAAAGGCTTATCTTAGAAAAATCATTTCTCCTTGTTCTTAATGCTGGGAATCAAATAATGAGAAGGTGGCCTGGTGTGAGTTAGTGTCCCACTGTGTAATGTTTTTGTGCAGGTGTGAATGTAACTCAAATCCCTTCTCTTAGAAAGGGCTTCCTGGTTTGTTTATCTCCTGGCAGCTTTTCCATGGGTGATGAAGAGGAAAAGCAGCCCAACCCACCCCTAAGACTAGACTGGAGACAGGTGTCAGTGTTGGAGTCTAAAGGGATACCACAGTGTTTGCAAATGAATGCCGACATTGTCTCTTGGCATTCAGGCCTGTGTCTTCCTAGCCACTTACCAGGGTCAAGTTGACTTAAAATATCCTTGGGAAGGACCATGGGAAGTCAACATAGCCCTGCTAGGCCATGGTTATCAAGCCTGCCATTCCCATGATCATAATAGGGAGCCTTGGAAATCCAGATAAATCACAGTTTCCTTTTCTAGGCTTCAGAGGCAAGCAGCAGACTTTGTAGGGACAGGCTCTGAAACCCAGAACAGCCGCAGAACCATTCTGAGTCGTCTGGCTGCTTCCCCTGTGCGAGGGACCATCTGGGGCTCTGCAGTGGAAAAGCAGGTATCATGTAGTTCTTTGCAAAAGAAAGGAGCAGAGTAGAGAGAACCCTTTCTTGAGCTGCGGTTGTAAAGGGTTATCTCTGTATGTACATTCACCAGTGAAAGGTTAGGAAATGTAATCTCTGGCTTGTATTTTATTTCTCACACCTCGTAACAATAACTAAGTAATCAGTAGATGCCAGATGTTCTTGCATTCCCAGCACTGTGTAAAGTGCTTAACATGACTCTCATTATTTCATAGATGAAGAAAGGCTTGGAGAGCAGTTAGGTAACTTGCCAAAGGTCACAAAGTCTAAGTGGCAAGAGTCGTGATTTGAATTCAGTCTGTGACTCATCAACTTTCCTTATAGCTTCCCAAAAGCAGGTTTCAAGAGCCAAGCCAACTAAAGAATGACAGTAGAGTTCACCTGTGAATGTATAACCTTGAGAGTGGCATCTGAATCTGCAATATAAATTACTAGAGACCAGAAAAATCTCACAGTAAACACACATGCGCTAGCTTTAGATTTAAGTTTGATTCATTAGTGGCTAAGGACTGATTAGTTGTCCCTGTGAGTGATGTATATCATGCTGCCATGACCTGTCAGTTCTTGGATAGGAACAAATATTTTGACAAATATATTTTAGGATCATGTTTTAATTATCAGAACACTTACATTTATAGTACTTTGCAAATTATAGTTTTTACATGCCTTGTTTTTTAAAATCCACATAACATGGCAGTTTTCTCTTTCTATGATGACTTTTTTAGGTTATTTTATTTTATCTGTATGAATGTTTTACCTGCATATATGTCTGAGCACCACGTGAGTGCCTGGTGTGCTTGGAGATGAGAAGAAGGGTATTGGAGTTACAGATGGCTGTGAGCTTCCATGTCAGTGCTGGGAATTGAACCCATTCCCTATGCAAGAACAAGCACTGTTAACTGCTGGCCCATCTTCCCTCCCCTGCATGCTATTTGTGATGAGAGAAGTTGAGTGACATAGCCAAGATTGAGCACATGAGGCAGAGCTGGCTCTCAGACCAGACTCCCTGACTCGGACTGTCAAAGCACCAAACCCCTCCACTTTTCAAAAAATTATTTATTTGTATTTTATGTACATTGGTGTTTTGCCCACATGTATGTCTGTGTGAGGGTGTGGGATTCCTGGAACAGGAGTTACAGTTGTGTGCTGCCGTGTGGGTCCTGGGAATTGAACCCAGGTCCTCTGAAGAGCAGCCAGTGCTCTTAACCACTGAGCCATCTCTCCAGCCCCTGCCCACCCCCGCACCCCTTTTTTTCCCCCTGTTTTCTTTTTGGAGACAGAGTTTCTCTGTGTAACTGGCTGTTCTGGAACTCACTGTGTAGACCAGGCTGGCTTCAAACTCACAGAGATCCACCTGTCTCTGCCTCCCAAGTGCTTGGATTAAAGGCGGGCATCACCACCACCTGGCTTACTTAGCTTTTCTTCAGGGTTAGGTAGTGGTGTTTGTTTTTTCATACTACAGCTTTTCATATGTTCTTAGAAATTTCATCATTCTGCAGAAAGATTTATTGGCTGAAATATATGGGCATCCATATTTGTTTTTTGTGTTCAGATTATTTTCTGTCTGGGTTCTCTGCATAGGGATGCAGTGCCATTGAATTAGATTTAGATGTGTTTGTGAAGTGTTGGGAGTAACTTCCGCATAGTCTAGTTTCCTCTTGGGGATGGAGAGTTCTCTGAGGCCCGAATTTCATCACTGGTTGCCAAATGTGCCCTTGACTCCAGCAAAACACTGGTTTCTGAATCCTCTTGTACAAGACCGTTTTCAAGCAGACTCCTGGAAGTATGTGTTGTTAAACCACCAGGTCCAGATTAAAACCACACCCTTTAAGTAAAGCACATGTTGTATTTGGGTGGTTTTGAAACCTGGAAACTGAATGTCCATTGTGATACAGTGATATGTGATATTTCTGATCAAAAGGCCAATAATTAACATTGTAAGCATGCTGTGTTTTGTTAGTAGCAGGCAGGAGAGAATAACTCCAGAGGAATGTGGATTGCTTGAGGCTAACCAGGACCTGTTCATCTGGTTAGTCTCTGTTCCACACTTATTAGAAGAGCCCTTATTCTTGGATCCCAGTTGGCTAATTTGAGTCAGGAAGACTTGAATCAGGAAGACTCAGGCTTTTCAGTCTAAACAGAGTCTACTGATTGGCATGAAGCAGGAGTTTAAACTGTCGCTGGACATCAGCTGCCCCCTGTCGACTTAGCAGTGTCCTTGTTATTTTCTGAAATTGTGTAGATATGTCTGTGTGACAAAAGAGTCATAATTCACTCAGCAAACAAATCTGATAGGCTCCTGTGTACTAGTAGGCAGGCATTGCTTTTAAACTATCAGGCACCAGCTACCTTAGCTTTGAAATATGTTGGTAGACAAAAGATTTTTGTGTAAAGACATGCCTCAAAGAAGATCTGATGAGCTGGATTTCCAATTTTCTTTTAAAGGTTTATTATTTTTCAAACTGCATATAATGTGTTTGTGTCGGGGGAAGAGTATGTCCACATGGATTCCAGAAGAAGGCATTGGATTCCCTGGAGCTGGAATTACAGTTATAAGCCACCCAACATGGGTAACTGGAAACGGACTTTGGGTCCTCTGAAAGCGCAGTACATCTCTCCAGCGCTTGTGCGCATATGTTTGTGTGTGTGGGGAGGGGGAAGGGGGGGTTGAGCATGTCTATAGCACACTTGTGGAGATCAGTTCTTTCCACCGTATCCATTCCAAGGGTGAAACTCAGCTGGTCAGCATTGGTGGCAAGTGACTTTACTCACTGAGGCATCTCACTTGTTCGGATTTCCCAAATTTTTGTAAACTTTGTGGATATTCTACAAGAGTTTACTACCCACACTTTCATCCCAGTCATTAATCTTCAAAGGGTTGTATTTTGTGAAGACTGGTTTTATTTGCCAAGGCCATTTTGAGGATCCAGTCGATTTAGATAAGTCTGAATGGTCCTTCAATTTTAAAGGTTAGTTTGGTTTTCCCATCTCCACAGTTTGGGGCCAGGGTCTCTCCCAAGAGGCATCTGTTTGGAATGCTATTTCTATCAAGACTTTAACATGTGGACCCAGCTGCCAAAGCCAAATGGTCTGAAAAAATACCAAAAGGTGATCCACCCTCCAATTAGGAAGGGTATTGTGTGGTCAGGAAGTAGGGCCAGGGATTATTGTTAGGAATAAAGCATCAAGTGTGTTGTAGACGGTAAATACTTGAATTTAAAGGTATGTTTTTATATTTCATTATGTGTATGTGCCTGTGTGGGGTTATGTGCAGGGGAGTGCAGGTAGCCAGAGAGGCCAGAAAAGGGTGTTGGGATTCCCTGAGCTTGAGTTACAGGTGATTGTGAATCATCCATCATGGGAACTGAACTCAGGCCCTCTGCAAGAGAAATACATGTCTTAACTACTTTACCATCTATCCAGCTCTGATCTCTAAGCTTCGCTTTAGTTTCTTAAGGTGAAAAAGCCACTTTGTGGATCTCATGCTTGGTATTTATCTGTGGGGCAGCGGATCATTTTGGAGTTTCAGGATGTTGCCAAGAGGCAGGGTTCTCAAGAGTGTTCTACTTTTTGGCTGTGGATGACTAGAGGATGAAAGGCCCAAGGCTTGGAAAGATGAGTCATAGATTTGGGAAGAAGTAAAACCTGGATGCAAAGTATCACTGCCATAGGTCTGCCCTGTGTCCAGGGCCTTTGTGATGGGGTGGACAAGAAGTTGGAATCACTGACTTTGCCTTTTTTGCTGTAATTTCAGACCCGGATGCAGAGTCTACAGCCTGACCCAGCTGCCCGCTATCGAAACGTGTTGGAGGCTCTCTGGAGAATTATAAGAACAGAGGGCCTGTGGAGGCCCATGCGGGGGCTGAATGTCACAGCAACAGGCGCGGGGCCTGCCCACGCCCTCTATTTTGCCTGCTACGAAAAGTTAAAAAAGACATTGAGTGATGTAATCCACCCAGGGGGCAATAGCCATATTGCCAATGGTATTGAGCCTTCCTGTGCTGGTCCCCCACTTTCCCAACTCTCTGGGCTTTGCTGCTGTCTGTGCTTCCCAGTCTCAGCATGGTTTGGAGCTGCAGCTTTGGGCTGGGGTAGGCCAGATTATAGGGAGGGACTTCCAAAGCTGATGTGCTCGGACAGCGGGCTGCTTCAACCCCACTCCTCCTTTGGGGCACCTCAACAAAGGTCACAGTACCCTCCCTTACCTGCCAGCTTGACTTTCATCTCCCTGGCATCAGCTTCTAATGCCTGGTAATGTGGAGAGACACTGAACTACCCCCACTGTATATCTCTTGGTAGTTGGGTGGTGTCCTGCTCCTCAAGGCAGGGGTGGAGGTGAGCCAGTCACTCGAGGAAGACCTAACGGAGCCCCGGCTTTTCACCTCGCCTTTTCAGGATCCCACCTGATCAAAGGCAGTTGGTGTCATTGAGGACATGACAGCGTTGACAAGTGAACGCGGGTGGGGTCAAGGGCCTGTTTGGAGAATCCATATGTTTTAGAGGTTGGGTGGAAATAAGGGAAGAAGTAGCAACCCAAGGTTGGAAGATGGAAAGCACGTTGAGTGTGGAGAGCGGGGTATAGTGGTTCAGGATCAAAAGAGAAGGTGTGGATGGACAAACGGTAGGTTTGGACACAGCCTGGGCAGCTTCCGGGCTCCAGGGTAGGAAGCAGGTCAGATTATAAGGCTCTGGCTGCCTGGCTCCATTGTCCCTGCATTGGTGGCCATTGCTGTGCCGGCATGCCTTGCCAAAGTGTAGCTGCTTCCTGCCAGGGCATAACTGCTTTATTTTAGAGTCCTCTGTGCTGAAGACATCTGGGATATTGTCTTTGCCCCTTTGGGGCCTTCCATCAGATGTGGAATGTGCAGTTATGACCTTTTTAAGTTAGGGGTGTGTCTTTCTTTCTGGGAGCAGTGGGTTCTGAAACCCCTGGTGGACTGACTCTTACCATGCATTTCCTCACTTGTCACAGCCACTCACGTTACCTGGGGCCGCGCCGCCCTCTTGGCCTTACATGTGGCAGTTATTTTCTCATTTGCAGGTGCAGCCGGATGTGTGGCCACGTTACTTCATGATGCAGCCATGAATCCAGCGGAAGGTAAAGATTCCTTAACCCATCCCTCTGCGCAGCTACATCTTCATGTCTGGTTCTGTTTCTACCTTTCAAAGGGAACTGTAGCACCATTCTTGTGGGGAGCCCTCGCATTTATCTTGGCGTGCCACTAGAGGGCGCTCCCTCCATATGTTCTGTGCTTGAGAGGAATCTGACCGAAGCCACATAGTTTTGGGGATTTAATTGATCTTTGAGGTTTTCCTGGAAAAATTATGGCTGTTGGCTTAGACCTGGGCTTTCCTAGGAGTCCCCTTTATAGTACATTTGATCTCTCCAATTTGTATAAAAATTATTTTGTGTTTCTCAAAAAAGGGTAGATTTTAACATTTTAAAATTTATTTTTTTTTAACATTTGAAAATTTAAAGTATTTCATTTCTTACTGGAATGTAGACAAATGTGAAAGATTCAGTTGTGTAGTTAACCCTTTCTTTGCTACTAGAGTATTAGCTTTTTAGGCAGGGGGAAATTCTCCAAAGTTATGATCACAAATGTGAGGGACTGATCTAGCTGCCACATTCCCTCAGTTCGGTTTCTTTACCTGTCTGTCAGGGCCGTGGGGTGGGAAGGGTTAAAGCTAGCTGGAGGTGCTCAGAGCGCAAAGCACACTCTCTGGCTCTCTGCGTTCTCTGCCTGATAGAACGGGAATATTTAGAAACTCAAGCTAGCACTTTATGAATAAGAATTGTAGTTTCTTGGTAGCATTTATTTTTCCTCCCTTCTCAATATTCAGAGTTCGTACCTGAGGGATAGAATTGCTATTCAATTCATTACTGTGTTCACTGCCACTGAGTCATCTGTTGTTAGGAAAGGTTAGAATAGTGATACTAGACAGGTTGGGTCTTAATCTAATGGAGACTCTGTAAATATACTGATTATTAATTGTGTGGGTTTAAAGAAATCCTACTGGGGATGGGCTCATTTTTTTCTTCTTGCTAACCCTCTGGCTACCCTTCCCCCCTAAAGTAGGAGAAACCCAGACTCTTGGAATAACAGGAAACTTACTCATCTCTCTCTCTCTTCCATTCGGTTGGCTGATCTCCCGACTGGACCCTGAATCGGGACACTCTGTCACTGGCTGTCGCTGTCCCCATTGTCCTCCTCTTGCTGCTTGATGGCACGCCTAGTGGTCAAGCAGAGGATGCAGATGTACAACTCACCGTACCACCGGGTGACAGACTGTGTACGGGCAGTGTGGCAAAATGAAGGGGCCGGGGCCTTTTACCGCAGCTACACGACCCAGCTGACCATGAATGTCCCCTTCCAAGCCATCCACTTCATGACCTATGAGTTCCTGCAGGAGCACTTTAACCCCCAGAGACGCTACAACCCCAGCTCCCACGTGCTCTCCGGAGCCTGCGCAGGAGCAGTAGCTGCCGCTGCCACAACCCCACTGGACGTTTGCAAAACACTGCTCAACACCCAGGAGTCCCTGGCTTTGAACTCAAACATTACAGGACATATCACAGGCATGGCTAGTGCCTTCAGGACGGTTTATCAAGTAGGCGGGGTGACTGCCTACTTCCGAGGGGTGCAGGCTAGAGTAATTTACCAGATCCCCTCCACGGCCATCGCATGGTCTGTGTATGAATTCTTCAAATACCTAATCACAAAGCGACAAGAAGAGTGGAGGGCAGGCAAGTGAAGAAGGGACACTGAGGGGACCAGGGTCCCACAGCCCTGCTGTTCCTGCCCCCTCAGCACCTTTGTCTCCTGGCATGATCCAGTTGCTACTGGAGTTGGACGAGAGGAGAGCGCTTTCTCCAGGCTCTAGTTGGCTAACACTAGTTCTTGCCAACGTCTGTTACCACCATCGTCTTTCCTTCTGGGCCCGCAGTGAGTTCAGCAAAGCCTGCCTCAGTACCTCGATGACCTACATCCTGGACCTGGCGGCCTGCTCTAGATACAGAGGGATAAGCAGCGCATTCCCTTGGTTCCCAATTAAAAAAAGTCTTTAAATGTTGTGTTGGGTTTGTCTTGCCAAGAGGGGCATGCAGTGTTGTCAGCTGTCCCTGACTTAAGAACAAGTCAAAGGAAGGGTTTCGTAGGTCTGGTTTTTGTTTCTTCTGCCTTGAGATGGCTTAGAAGTGTAAGGTCCTGTTTCCCTTGTCCAAATAGTCACCGTAAGGAGTCTCCCAGATGCCAGGAACACTGACGGCCCCTACCTGCTGCTCACACAGTAGGTGCACCTCAGCCCACCAGTGCCTTCTTTAGTCAGCAGCGGGCCACAGAGTTGCCCATCTTCTGGTCTAGTTATAGGTTCTGCCTGAGCTATGAAAGCTTACATGTGGCCCTTGGTTTCCTAATGCAGTTGCAGAATTAAAATCATTCATTGAAGTTGCGAGCCCTGAAGATGGTGTGACAAGACTTCATTTGACTTCTGATTTTTTAATGTTTGTGATACTGGGGATTGAACCCAGGGCCTCGTGAATGGCAGGCATGTGTTTTACCATGGAGAATTATCAACAGCATACTCAATAGTTTACCAGGTGCTTGAGCATATATGATCTCATTTAGTTCTGACAAAATAACGAAGTAGGCAGTGAAGTGTCACCTCTTTTGACTGACAGGAGCTCAAGGAGGCTGTGACTTACACAAGGCCTCACAATAAGTGGGAAGCAGGGGCTGACCGGGATCATTTATCCCATGAGTGAATCTACCTGCAGATAGGAAATGAGTAGCGTGGGGCACTGTGACTGAAGACACTCCACCTGCTGTCCTTGTGGACACTGTCTGCAGACTTAGGTGGGGCTTTTACTGGGTTGGGTTGGCCCGTATTAGCAAGCTCTTTGGTTCATATCCATCATCTTTTCATTCACCATTCAGAAGCAGTTGGGTATCTCAGGCATCCCTGACTGGGGTTAGAGATGTGATGATAAATAAAGCAGTCTTAGCCTTCAAGGAGCTTATTGTCTGGGGAAATTCTATGTAAACAGACAATTAGACAAATGATAAGAGAGTAGTTTACATCTAGAACACTCCTAGAGGATGTATGAATCCTAGTTTAGCCTGAGAGGACTGGAGTAGAAGCAGAAGAAATGACAGCTGAGTGGCACCAGGACAGATCAGCTAACTAGACCAGGGAGAGGAGCTATTTGTGTTCAAACTTGGAGGTAGAGTAAGTAGTGTCGGGCGGGAATGAAACTGGGTGAGGCTGCAGCTGGCAAGTGGGGCAAGGGCTGGAGCTTAAAGCAGTGCTCGGGGGTTCAGAGTTTATCCTCAGGCGAAGCAAAGCATTACGGGGTTTAAATGAGGCGGGCACGATCAGATCCAGCATTTAGACAGAGCACTTGGGCTCCTGGAGAAGGATTAAGGGGAGCAAGACTGGACAGGCAGGCAGACCATGTAGAAAGCTGTTACAGGCAGACAGCTGCATGGTGGTCTGCACCCCGACTGACAAGGAGGCTGGAACCATGTTAGAGTTTTAGGAGCAAGAGGATTTAGTTAACGGAATAAATCTTGTCATCTTTTACTTGACAGCTGTTCAAGCGTCTATGGAGAATTGTGTCTGAATGTATTTGAAAAGAACTGTTAGGCAAACGGCAGGGCCCCTGTTCTCTGCTTAGGCTGGCAGCCCCCTCTCCTGTAGGGAGGGGAAGGAGAGCGTGTATGCTGCAGAGTGCTGGCCAGTGAAGCTAGGGTTGCTTCTGCTTGCTGCAGAGGTCATGGCAGGCGGTTTCCTAGGGAAAAGGTGAGTGAGTAGCTGCTTCCCAGCATGGACCAAGCCACAGAAACCAAGGAGCAGCTATCTGGACTTGGTGCTGCAGTCAGCTCTGTGGAAACACTGGGTGCAATAGCTGTCATTGCATTAGGCACAGTGACAGTAAGGCTCACCTTTCAAGACATGAGGGGGTATTTTCTGAAGAAATGGTGGCCCCTGTAGAACCTCTTGACTCTGATGCTGTTCACAAATAGAAATTACAAAAGTGACCTTCCAACTTGCAGTTGTGGCCTGGGTCCTAGAGGATGGTGGTTCACTTGGCATTTGGGTGAGGCAGTAGGTTGCAAGGGAGGGGCTGGGGGTGGGGCACTCAACCTAACCACTAGAGAGAATAATGTAATAGGGCCAAGGTCTAAGATGCCAGTGACCAGATGCTTGGGTCATCTCTCTAGAGCTCGCTATGCCTAAGAGACCTCTGGGTATTTGGTGGCACAGACGTCCCAGAGCCTTTTGGGTAAGTATGTTTACCTTGACCTATTCATTCCAAGCAGCCAGTTTCATTATGCTGCTATACACCAGGGAAAATGATGAAAATAAGCCATAACCTGGCTAGAGAAAAGCCTGAATTGGAGAGATACAATGAGTGTGACTAAGCAGTCTTGAGGTGACAAAGGGTGCTACCACGTTGTCACATACTTGGTTTCACAGTGGCAGGGCAGAAAGGGTAAGTGTGGGTCAGTTGACAGAGAAAGGTATCTAGCAAATAAAAATACTTCTGTTATAGCAAATTCATGCTAATGTTGCAGAGTTTAGATAGCAGATTAAAAGGGAGTGCTCTGGTCCTAGAGAACCATTTTTCTTGTGGATGTGGATTTATTCTGTAGTACTGGAGACAGCCCAGTGTGTCTTGCATGCTAGGCACGTGCTCTGCTACTGAGCTACATCCTGGGCTCTTGGTTTTTGAGACAGGTCTCACTTTGTATCCCAGGCCAGCCTCAAGCTCACAATCCTCCTGCCTCAGCCTTCCCAGCACTCAGAATATAGGCATGGATCACCAACCTAGTCTAGAATATAATGCTTTTATGTCATTTTCAGTGTCTCAGTTTATATATTTGTGTGCGTGCGTGTGTGCGTGCGTGCGTCTGAACCCAGGCCCTTGTGTATGTATACTAGGCAAACTTGCCACTGAAGTACATGCACAAATAATTTTTATTCATTTTCAAAAGTGAGATTTCCCTGTAACCAACTTCTTTTATATGACAAAATATAGTATCAATTTTTCCACATCATTAAATTTCCTTCTACCACTTCAATATAAATGGTCACACAGCACTCTGCCATTTAAATGTGTAAGTCCAGTCTGTCCTCTGGTAGACAGCAGCTGTAGTTGGACTCTGAATGAGCAAAAGGAGAATGGGTACAAAGAGAAGGATGGGAGTGGAGTAACAGCTTGAATAGATGCTGCCCAGAGACCACAATGCAGGCCAGATGGTGGGGGTAACTGAGGCTGGCAGGTCAGATGGTGGAGGTGAGTGAGACTGGCAGGTCAGATGGTGGAGGTGAGCGAGGCTGGCGGGTCAGATGGTGGAGGTGAGCGAGGCTGGCGGGTCAGATGGTGGAGGTGAGCGAGGCTGAGCTACAAGAATGTCAGGGCTAGGAGGTTCCTTAGAAGCCATCTTGCTTTGCATCTTCCCAGGAGCCTTAACTACTCTCCAGCGTTTGTCAGGCTGCCCTGCCCCTGCTCAGGTTTCAGGAACTTGCTACCTCATGAGGCCGGCAGTAAGTAGCATAGCTCCAAAGCTCCTCCTAATACAAAGTCCACAATCTCCTGCTTCTACTCAGGGATCCTATGACTTGCCTGTTTTTGTTGCCTTTGGAATAAAAGCCAGCTTCTTCATCATGGTCAATAGGATTTTACAGAATTTAGCCCAACCTCTCTAACCCCAACCTGCCTCCAGGTTAGGCACTAACACAAACTTCAGTTTTTTCCAGACCTGAAGTGCTGCTCCTGGGTCCCATTATTTACTTTGAAAGGCTTGATGGGCAGTATGTCTATACCCTCAGAAAGGTCACAGCAGTTGCTGAGGCTGGGTGTGCAATACTGTGTTACATTGGTGGACAGAGATGGAATCCTGGGGGGTTCCACACAGTGGTCCATGCATGGAGCTCCATGAACAACCTGGAAACCACCCCCTTACCACCCACATTCACTCACACACTCAAGACAATTTCTTTAGAAATCAAGGCATTTAAGTCTCCCTGTAATTTCCACCTCTGATGGCTCCTGCCTGCTGGGGCAGCGCAAAAGCTGGATAATCCTCTCTCCTCTCTGACAGTCCTTCAAAAATATTGAGATAGCTGTCACATCGTCCAGGGAGGGTTGGGCGGAGTCTGGAAGTTGGTTAGAGGAGCTTGGACTGAGCAGCTAATCAGTATCAAGGAAGGACTTTACTGAAGAAATGTCTGACTCCAGACACAGGACGACCTGGAAGCGGGAGTCTAGGCCATCACTTAGACAGCGATGACACAAGAAAATTGTCACAGGGTTATGGTTAGACACAGGTGGGAACCTGTGCCAGGTTGTCTTGTTCTCTTGACTGTGTGTGGCAGGTAGACAGGTCCCAAGACAGTGCCATTTTCATATGACTTTGCACCCAGACTTAGACCTGCTTGACTGTGGGATAGTTGTGGTCAGGCACCAAAATTTATGAACAGAAATGCTGCTGTTGTCCTAAGGATGGGCCATGTCCCCCTGCAGTGGAGGACTGAGCAGACAAGGGCCGAAGCAGACACTGGGATGGTCCGTGCTGTGTGTCACTGTGGTGACCATGTGAGTCCATGCTCTCCAATTATTCAAACACTAATCAAAGTGATGACACTTAGAAAATGATGCAGCCCAAGTAGAAGTATAAACACCTAAGTGAGGGGAGTGACAGCAAGAAGAGGGTGCAGGAATGTGTAGGATTCAACAGTGTGGTAGCCAGGTGTACTCAGGTTACAGAGGAGGGGGATTTCTGGACAGCTTTCAAATTTTAGAGACAGCAATTTTATTTTCTTTTTGTGAGACAGGGTTTCTCTGTGTAGCCCTGGCTATCCGGAACTAGCTCTGTAGACCAGACTGGCTTTGAACTCACAGAAATCTGCCTGCCCCTGCCTCCTGAGTACCACCATCACCTGGTGGAGACAGCAAATGTTCTTGGGAAAAATAATAGAGTCATAAGTGTATGTTTGAGCTGGAACAGATTGACAGTATCTGCAATATGGATGTAGGACTCAACTGTACAGAGATTATCACTAAACCAT